ATACCGTAGGAGATGGTATTCTTTAGGCCTGAAATATACAATTGGACATCTCTAGCAATGACTGTAGCACCACTTCTCTCTCCCCCTTAGCTTAGTGAATGTGATGAAACTTCACTTTGTAAAAAATACCCAATCGTGTGCAAGAAAAACAGGAAACAGCATTTTTTTTCTCGAACATGATTTGGTTATGGAATTCAGCAGAGCTTCCCCTCATTCACTAAACTAAGGGAACATTTCCCCTGCTAAGTGCAGATTCCCCATGCAAAGTGAACAGTCTATTTGCCTTTAGTAAATCAACCCCCCTGTGTCTTTTCTTATCCATCTACCAGTATGAGTTGGCAGAGCTGTATTGATAATATTCTCTGATATTGTAAAGTATATGTCATGTTTATCTGTCACCATTATGCGTAGGGTATGAATAGATTAATGGAAGGAATATGGCATCATAATGATGTCAGAGGGTTTGAATGGTGTGTTCCACACTGGTGTATTTATTTTTGCTTCGTTCTTTTACTTGTTAACACACTGTTTGCCTGATGAAGAGAGCCTCTGTGGACCCCAAGCAGTGGGATCTCTGTTATACCATTACTAAACGTCAATAAAGACGTGTTCACGAAGGAATTTGGTGTGCTGGTGATTTATCCTCTTCCCTATTTAGTATAAGGCACATGTTACATACTGTTAGTAGCTATAAGTATAGCAGTCCCCTAATTATGGACCACAGGCTGGTTCCATCAACTGACCCCTGTTATGATGAGGCCTTGCACTCAGGATTTTTTTATTGCAAACCTGAGGGAAGAAGCCACTGATTGCAGTGAGTGACCAGAGATTTAGCACCGGCAAATCTATCACTATTGGGTGATCTCCTTCCCAATGGTAACTGTAGTCCCAACGATGACATCACCAAAAGGAGTGGTGCAGCCTATGCAAAGGTAAGTGCCACAGAAGCCAAGTGTTATGGCACCATTTATTTTACTGACATAGGAGCACTATTACTTCCACTGAAGACCAATGCCAGGGCACCATTCCTCCCTTTGACATTAATACTGGGGCACCATTGCTTCCACTGAATGCCAGTCATGGGGCAATATATTGCCCCACTGACCACTGAATACCAATGATGGGGCATTATATTCCTCCCACTCACAACTGAATATCAACAAAGGGCATTTATATTCCTCCCACTAACCAGTTAACACAAACAATTGGGAACATTATTTCTCTCATTAACCACTGAACACCAATGATGGGGCACCATTCCTCCCACTAGCCACAGACACTGTAATATTTATTGCCTCACTATTGTTACATCTATTGCCACTGGCCACTAAGATGGACATTGTTTTACTCTCACTGACTCATGAGCTTTTATTACTCCTGCTGACCACTAAAGCCAATACTTTTTTTACCCCCTTGATGCTGGGGCCTTTTATTACACCATCTGCCTCCCTTAGACATTTTTTACTCCCATTGACCTCCCACACCGGGGCATTTTTTTACTCACACTGACTTTTGAATCTGGGGTATTTTTTTTTACTACCACTGATCTCTGAATTGGGGCTTTTTTTTACTCATACCAGTCCAGTTCCAATACAGTTCATTTGACTGTAAACTGGACATTTGTTTAAAATGTTTGAGGTTCCCCTGTGTTAGTATTAACAGAATTCTAACATCTGTCATTTGTAGAATATATTTAATCTCTTGGGCGCAATATGTGAATTTTTTCTTTAAATGTTAACTGTCTAAAAACTATTATGTTCATACCCCTGAGTATACTGAATATTGGAGACTAATCCACTCATGCTTTTTAACAGTAATATGTGAGTCCTTTATCAAATGTGTATCATGTAGGCATCTGATGGTCAGCAGTAGATGCTTAAAGGAGAACTATGGGGTCAGGGCTTTTCCCCATAGTTCTCCTAAGGGTAACGGGAGCACACAAACTAGCGTCCTCCCGTCACCCTAGGCTCAGTATACCGCAAGCTACAGCTCTCTATATACTGAGACGCCGCAGCCGGAACGGATCCCGACATCGATGTCTGGATCCACCCAGCTGCATGAGTGACAGCTGGCTTTGCCTATCTAGAGGCAGAGCCAGCTGTACCCGCCCCCTCCCCCGTCCGTTCCACCAGTCAACGCTGACGGATCGGAGCAGAGAGAAGGGAATCTAGCCCCTCCCCTGTCACGGCAGAGAGCCGTGACAGTATCAAGAGGTGAGCGAACCCGGTATGTGTTCGCTCAGCTCCCGATCTACTGAGCCGACCTGTGACAGTCTCATTGTTACAGGTCGGCTACAACTATGAGGTGAGTGAAAAGCACCCCCCTCATAGTTCTCCTTTAAAACCCAACTCCATTCCACCTCCACAGCTTTTCTTCCTCCTGGAACCCCATTTCTCCCTGCATGTAAGTGTTGATAAGTTGAAGCCATGATTTGATACAAGATGGAGGCAGATCTACGATGAACGGAATATGAACTCATGGCTTGGTTTTCTGAAAAACATGTTTTCGTGTCTCAAGAATCTCAAGAACGGACATTATCTGATTTTCCCTTGTTATTCAAATATCTAGTAATTAAGCCAAAACAGGAAGATGTTGATTTATGGTTTCACGTAAATATATGCATTTCTTAGAAACCATTAGTTATCAATAGCCGGTGACAGGTCAGGGTGACCGTTACAGCTGGACACTAATCTCATATAAACTGTCATGTGCTCATCCATTTATTGTTAGTTAGTTAGTTAGTTAGTTAGCTAGTTAGTTAGTTAGTTAGTTAGTTAGTTAGTTAGGGAAACTCCTACTTCTCCCTTGGATATGTGCCCATAGATAGCGTATATAAAGTTTTGGATGTTGTATGTAAAGTTGTCACACTATCATCCTATCTGAAGTGTGAACCGATGTGCATCGTACTCTGCAATAAACCAATATACAGATTGTATACTGGAAGAGCATCTGATGCCGTTTATTCAAAGGCTTAGTACAGCGATGTCCAAACTCCGGCCCTCCAGCAGTGGTAAAACTACAAATCCCATGAAGCATCTCTCTCTGGGAGTCATGTCTGTGGCTGTGAGAATCTTGCAAAGCCTCATGGGATTCGTAGTTCCACCACAGCTGAAGGGCCGCAGTTTGGACATCCCTGGTTTAGTATATATTTTTCATTTCAATTGTATTTAATTTAATAAATTGCCATTTGCATCCTAAGGTGGAATTTAAGAAAACATGATGCAAAAAAGCGAAGCCATTTGAATGTCCTACTTGCATAGCACACTAGGACTTAATGTTTCCACACGCGTGAAGGCACACAATGCAAATGTATCCTTGCAGTTTATCATGGCCCTTTCATTGAGTAAATGACCTTCATATGGTCTGTAACAAGGAGCAAATGTTGAGTGTGCCCTGTTTACCAGAGCTTACAATCTATTGGTACAGAAGTAAGTGGCCCAAATGGTGCAATTCTGATTGCTAATACATAGGTAATCCCCGGGCCTGCTGAATAAAAATAACATACAAATAATTTCCCTATATGCCAATAGTAATAAATCCCCTGACAATATTACAATATGATCTATACTCCCAGATGTCCCACTTACTTCAATCTATTTGCCTATAAAAGACAAGGTATTCTGTACAATGAGAAATTTCACTATTTAGAGGGCAAGTATTTTTTTGGATCTGCTAAATTGTGATTATTAATATTTGCTGCATTATGATGTGGTTGTGGTTGTTGATGTTTTGTTGGAATTATTTCTATTCAAGTCATCAAAACAATTGTTGCAATATAATTTTTTTATATTGAAGGCTCCTTTTTTTTTTAGAAAGCACTTTGTTACTTCAAATGATCCATTTAATGTTTATGTTAACTCTAAATCTATGTTTTGTATGTCTGGAATCATGACTTACTGTATACAGTTTTCTGAACCAATTTTGTTTTTCTGTGTAAATCTGTTGCAAAGTTTTTGTTACCAAGAAATCCTGCCAGTAACAGTTCTTCCTATTGCAGTCTGACAACATTAGGCCACTGGCTCACAATTGGCAACAATGTTGTCAGCCTGTTCTGCAAAGCCTATTTAATTGTTTGCTGGACTTAGATCTGATAGTCAATTTAAAGTGACACTGAACTCAGGAGTTACATCTTAAAAATACATTCAAGTACCTTAACTATGAACAGCAATGTATATTATTTGTGTATCACTCGGCTGTAGATCCTCAAATCACCTCTTAATTGGTGCTGACACTGTCCTTCCTTCTGGAGGGGGGCTACTTTTGTTCCCCATGGTCCCTTTGTGTGCTGTAAAGTAGTCACTACTCCAAGCTCACTCCCGGGATGGACTACAATCTCATGTTTAGTTTACTAATTTGTATTGAGATTGTATTGTATTGAGTATCGAGATTGTCCATTCACATGGGTATGCACAGCTGTACACCATGCACCTCTGTGCAGAGACTTACATAGACAGTCTGCATCCAAGGGCATAGTTCAGGTCAGCATGTAGCCACATACAGCCTGTCCTGTAATAGACATACGGCGTTATGCAGCACTTGCCTCTCCCGGGCTGTGCACATCCATGTGAATGAGGCCTTAAAAGTTATACAGCAAAATATTTCCAAAGTAAGATGTCACAGACTTTGGGTAAAGAATTGCCCATTTTACCACTAAACAATTCATGGACTATATTACTGGCTAACATAAAACAACTTTCTTCTTTCTATCTGCAATGTGTAAAGTACAGTAAGGCATGGAAACTAATTGATCTCTAATTTGTACACAGAAATTTAAATTTGATTTATTGATCATTTGATTGATTGATTGATCTGGGTCAGTCATTTTTGAAAAAGCCCTGCTTGTCTTCATAATGTCTTAATACATTTGCACACAGGAAAACATGAGTCTTTATTAATCATGGTAATGGCTTCCTGTCATCCTTCCTTCCAGCTCCCTCTTCTCCATTTAAATAAGGTTAACATGTTTCAATGGCTTCACTGATCATTGGCTTATAAATGTTATGGATGAAAAAAATGTGACTATGATTACTGTGATCCACCTCATAGGGTTTCAGACGTCACAAAGTATAACATTTCTGGTCTTTTTTCTCTTTCTTATGATTTATTGTGTGACAATTTGTGGAAACCTCCTGATAATCACACTGGTGTTCTACAGCAAAGCCCTCCATTCTCCCATGTACTTCTTCCTCTCCCAGCTGTCCATATCAGATATCATACTTACAATGGATATTCTTCCTAACATGCTCAATTCTCTTATAGCAAATACTACCATCATTTCACTTCCTGATTGTATCACCCAGCTTTATTTCTTTGCCTCTGCAGAAACATTGCAGAGTCCTCTTCTGACAGTGATGTCCTTTGACAGATATCTAGCCATCTGTAAACCATTGCATTATAAGTTGTTAATGAGTCATCGGTTTTGTTGGATAATAATTATCACATGTTGGACTTTAAGTTTTTTATCAGTATTTATATATACTACAACCATATCCAAATTACGGTTTTGTGGTCCCAATGTTGTTGATCACTTTTTCTGTGATCTTGACCCCATCCTAGGACTCCCCTGCTCTGATACCACCCTCGTTCGAGTAGAAACAACATCAATGAGTGTAATGTTTGCTATTGTGCCATTTTTTGTAATCACGTTGTCTTATGTTTATATTATAATCACCATTTTGGAAATCCAATCTATTACTGGGAGGCAAAAAGCTTTTTCAACGTGCAGCTCCCATCTTACTGTTGTTGCCATTTTTTATGGCACCAATGTTGGTGTGTACTTGGTACCTAGTAGAGGTCAGTCATGGAACATTTCTAAATTCCTGTCATTGCTGTACACTGTAGTCACCCCACTGCTGAATCCAATTATATACAGCCTGCGGAATGAAGATATAAAGCAAGTTGTAGGAAAAATCATCAACTCAATCAATTTGAGCTTTCATTTCAATTTTATAGTGCTAAATATTGGAAATAATTTTAGACAGTGACAGACCTATTTTGTGTTATTTTTCAGCTAAAATATATTTCAGTGTGTCTATGATGCTATAAAAATTCTGTAATTATCAAGGGTTATTAAATAAATTCCAAAAAAGAGATGCTTGTCCTGATTTTCTGAAAGAGTTAGAGGCTTAAATTTTGAGACTAATTTGTTTGATAATGAAATTCTGCTGGTTAACTCAGGCAAACAAATCTGATTTCTGTCTAGGAATTTGCAGAAAGATTGGAGTTTAAGTGATACCCTTTCTTAGCTTTGTACAATTCTGATAATGGAGAAACAATAAAATATAATGTTCTTAGTGGTATTTTATTAATGCTATTTTCTTGCTCCTCCTTGTAAGTCTGTGTATAAATATGTGGGTTTCAGAATAATTTTTTAGAATTTCATATATCCAAAAAAGACACAGACCCTGAAAGTTGCATCTTTATTGACTTAAAGGGGTTGATTTACTAACCTTATAAACACACCACGAATGTGTATACACCTCTGTAGTGTGTTCCCTCCCAGCATGATCTATGGGTGGAATCTAAACACCTTTGTAGTGTGTACACACCCAGCAGGTGTGTTGTGCAAAGCCCTGCATGAATTGCAAGGTGATGTTGTGTAAATTAGCTCTACGTTGCTTGCGTTGATGAATGCAGGAATGTAAATGCATGAGCTAACCATTTTTGTCTAAACTGTGAAGCAGCATCATATATGCATCATGTGCATGATTTTTCCATATATGGCATTAGTGGAAATATGCTTTTAGAGACTTGCATGCCGCTATTAGAGCGGCGTGTAGCTTATGGCGCATGCTACATGACGCGCACGTACGTAAATACGCAAATACATAAAAACGGCGTGAAAATGTGACACTTTGCTCGTGTTTGGTTGATAAATACGTTTTGCTGCGTAAAAATGCACACGCACCTGGTGCGTGTGTGTGTTTAGGTTAGTAAATCGCCTCCAAAGTGTCAGAGACACATCAGGCAGTGTTTTGGGATCCGAACTGAGGCTTCCCTTAAGAGATGAGTCTTTAGTGATTGTCTAAAGGCAGTCAGAGTAGGAGATAATGGGACAGGTTGGGGTAAAGAGACTCTAGAGAAGTCCTGGAGGTGAGCATGGGAGGAGTTGATGAGGGAGCTAGAGAGCAGGAGGTCTTGGGAGGTGCGGAGAGGACGGTTAGGGTGATAGTTTGAGACAAGGTTGGAGATGTAACTTGGGGCAGAGTTGTGGATGGCTTTGTAAGAGTAACCCATCCATGCTTTTTATCAGTATTTGGTGAGTCCTTTATCAAATGTGCATCATGTATGCATATGATGGTCAGTAGTAGATGCTTAAAGCCCATCTCCGTTCCACCTCCACAC